GTTTGGTGGGGGAGGAGGATAAGAGTGGAATGGAATGTTTTATTGGAGGGATTGATTTTTTTGGCTCACTATTTATTAAATGTGTTATAATTCGTTTCTCAGCATAACCCACCATCGACTGCTGTATCACCAATAGGTGATGGACATAATTTAAAGTGAGTGATTAGTTGTACACCTTTTGCAATCCTAAACGTCAAGAACATTATTTATTGAATCTAGTAGATATCAAAATGATCACATACATGTTTAGCCAATAGTCCCTTTCACAGTTCCCTGCGCTATCTTGAAAGGTAGCCATGCCTTTGCATCGAAGCGAGATGAACGATGAGCTTGCAATGATAGAGACGTGTGAATAATATTATTGTCCAAAGTGTTAAAAAAAGTCTCTATTATTACAAGCTCACTGTTCGTCTCACTTAGATGCAAAGGCACGGCTACCTTTCAAGATGGCGCAGGAAACTGTGAAAGGGACTATTGATATGTAGTACAATATATTTCAATTTGAATTCAGAAGTTGATTTTTACATATTTCATTTACTTTCAGTCATCATGTGGTACAATCACCTCCCCCACCCCCTGTACCCTGGAAAGGATATTTTGGGGCTGCAGTTATTGGAGGAGGACTGGGATACTTGTTGGTTAATTTAATCAAGGTACAGATATAATCAGTAATATCCTTAAATTATTTATAAATGAGGAAAAGGGTAAAGTTGACGTTGAGAGACAACAGGGGAAACTCATCTCTGTCATCATGTATCACCATCATCATGTATCATCATTATTCCTCACCATAATGATTCCTCGTCATTGTCATCAACATTACAGCCATTATCATCATCATCATCATCATTCTTTATTAACATCATTATCATCATTCATCATCATCATCACTACATTACCATTAATCGTATCAACGTTGTAGTTGTCATCATTATCATTGACATCATTATCACTATCATCAATATCTTCATTGTCATCGTTATTCATCATCGCCATTATCACCATCATTGTCATCAATGTATAACCATCACCATCATCATCATTGACATCATCACCATCATCATCATTGACATCATAATCATCATCACCATCATCATCATCATCACCATGATCATCATTCATTGCCATCAATTTTGTCAATGTCATCGTCATCATTGTCATCATCACCATCATCATCACCATCATTACTATCTCCCAATAATCCATGTCGTTTCACATATATAGCCAACTAACTTACCCATAACATATTCCTTTCAGAAATATATCCTCCCATTGATCTTTGACCTAAAGGAAAAGGATGAAAAACTAGACAAGTTAGAATCATCCGTGGCTGAGCTCAGTGCCAATGTCACAGGAACAGGTAGATAACACATGGAGCCTAAAATCATTGTTTTTTGGATGACGAATCATCATTCAAAAAACTCTTTTTGACTTTTTGATGGCTCACCCCTACATCCCCAATTTTTCCTGGCAGCCCCCCCTTTTCCCCCCTCTCGTATCAACCAGTGTTGTTATGCCYCCCTTTCCAACTACGAGGCCTTGTTTTGCCTGGCCTCCCCTTTGGAGTCTAAACTTTTCCAATGGACCCCCTCAATTCCACCAGCACCCCCTCCCAGCTATAAAAGGATTGGTCCCTTAGATCATTATTGATATTCAGAAAATAGGGAGAGAGAGAGGAGAGAGGGTGGGTGGGGGGAGGGGGGGGAGGTTCGCACATTTGAACCACCCCTGGTGTATCTGACAAATAGTCTTATTTATGTTCATTTTTTCACAGTTGGTTCAGTACAGACAACCCTTGACTCTGTGCAGGTAAAACAGAACTACAGCTCTAAAATGGGAATGGGAAAAGATGAAAAATGATGAAATGGGAATGGAATGAATGGATATTCTAATGATATTCTTCCCTAATTTTTTTAAACACTTTCCAGAAATTACTGGTTGAGCAACAAAAGAAAATTCTAAGACTCTCCTCTGACCTGACGGCAACGCAAGATAAACTTGCAGGCCTTYCGACAGACAGTTACTCAGTAGGGGATCTCAAAGCAGAAATTGTCTCCTTAAAAGGTCTTTTACTCAACAGGTACTTGATATTTTTAATTTGTTAATGTTAGTTCTTTATTTAAGGTTTTTATTTATGTTCTTAGTCATTACCTGACTTAGATTAGCCAAGAAGTTGATTCAGGGTTCGATCTGTGAATTAGCCATGCCCTGACTTAGATCAGCCTAGAGGTTGTTTCAGGGTTTAATCTGTGAGTTAGCTGTGCCCTGACTTAGATTAGCCAAGAAGTTGATTCAGGGTTGGATCTGTGAGTTAGCCATGCCCTGACTTAGATCAGCCCAGAGGTTGTTTCAGGGTTGGATCTGTGAGTTAGCCATACACTAACTTAGATCAGCCTAGAGGTTGTTTCAGGGTTTAATCTGTGAGTTAGCCGCTGCCCTGACTTAGATCAGGCCAGAAGTCGTTTCAGGGTTKGATCTGTGAGTTAGCCATGCCCTGACTTAGATCAGCCCAGAGGTTGTTTCAGGGCTAAACCTTTTTCTCTATTTAAATAAACATAAAGTATTTTATGGTTCCAGAAAGCAGTTTCCATCTCCAGTAATAGGTTCAACTCCAGCACAAGGTTTAGGTATTCCTGCATGGCAGAGAGCTACGTTGCAATCTGCATCAGGATCATTTGCTAAAGACAAAAAGATTGATGATGGTGCTACTGGAACATCATCACAGGTTGAACATCCTAATGAAGCTAAAGAAGAGAGCATTGCGGTAGAGGACCACTCCTTGATGAATGGTAAGCGATAGAACACTTATTATTTTAAGGAGTAGGCATAGCTCAGTTGGTATATTAGTGCATGGCCTTCAGAGCTAGAGAGTCCACGGTTCAATCCTCAGGATCTCCACGTTCATTTCAACTACTCTCTGTTCTGTGTTGCTTTAGCTTTAAATAACCATAATAAGAAGCACCTGATGGTCTGAGGTGGTAAAGTTGGCACCTTTTAGCGCTTCTTATATGAGTAGACCTGGCTCGGGAGAAATGAGCAACCACTATAGTGTTTTAGAACCAAACAAAATAGCTTTACCTTTTACCTTTTTTGAGATTGGAGTGAGTTTGACTGATAACCATATCAAAATGCATACAAATGAGGATGATTTTGTATCCGATTTACAGACTTTCATGTAATATTTCAAAGCCGACAATGAGGACTGGATGGGTTTTTAAGTCCAAGCAATTAGTTCCTAATTGGAACTGTCCTGTCCAGTCYGATATTAGAGGCTTTGAAATAACTTCTCATGCTCATTATTATTCGACTTGGAGTAACTGGAACACAATAATTCCGTCCTAGGACTGAATTAATTTTGTTCCAGTTACTACAGACTGAATTCAGTCCTTTCACAGTACTTTACCAGGTTTCAAGTAACATCATGTGACCCAAAAATAGCCCATTGATTGGCTGGTTTACTCATGAATTATTAATGAGTATGAGAATTTCAGTGAGATATCTCTTGTAATAATCCAGTTTCAAATTTTCTGTTCTGCAGGGTTAGCCTCAATTTTGTATTGAATTATTTTGAATATTCATGTGTTCCAGTGCAGTTCCATGGAATTTCAAAGTGTTTGTTTTGTTGAAGTTGTGCATTCTTTACTTTACTGTTGGTATTTGTGAATATTTGGACACTGAAATGAGGCTAACCCTGTAAGTATGAGTTTCTGATCAAGGAAGACAGCTGTATTTAACTAATTCGAAAAYGGTCTATTGATCATCTCAGGTCATTCAAGTGATTTGGATAAAAGCAGGGAGGAAGATAGTACCCCAAGTCCACATAGCTTTAGCAGTGGAAGTGAGACTTGTTCCGGCACACCAAACACTGTGAAATCAAACATTAGTGAAAAAGATATGAACAATGCAGTACTACTTGAAGAGGCCGACATTAGTAATGACACAAGTGTGTCGTCATTGTCCGACATGTCAGTTAATGCATCTTTTAATGAAGCTTCAATAGCGTTTTCATCAACCTGTATTAAAGTAGCATCAGATGCTACGTCTGTTGAGGAATTGCCTGAAGCTACTGATCAGGATAACCAAGAAGTCGATTGAAAACTTGAAATGGCATACCAGGATGAATTACTTTGTCAAAAATATCAGGATTTGTATCCAATATATTTGATATGAATGGGGGAAAAAGCATAACTCCAGCAACATTGATGGTCGATTGTAAATCTATAAATCCTCCTAGCTTGGATGTAATGTTTCCCCTTTTCAGACCACATGTCATTCTCTAGAGTATCATTTCTTTGCGTAACGGTTGCACATGAGAATTAAGACACATGTATTGAATTGAATACAACTTAAGCAAATAATCTTTTTGTCAGGAGAATGGCATGTAGTCCGAAATGGGAAGAATGCTGCCCAAGCCCAAGTTAAGATAGTATATTTTTATTGCGCTAGTTTGTCAGGAATAATAGAGAAATAAGAGAGCTCACACAGTCTTCATTGTAGTGTTGGGTTTTACTAGTGACAAGCATAATGCAAAGAAATTGTGCTTGTAGTTGTGTTTGCTTGTGTTGCTCTTGCATTTCAAATTTATTCTTGAATTACTATTGGAGTGTTCAGCCCTTCAAGCACTTCGGCATGAGAAGCTCTGACAGAAGATACAAGACTTTTAAGCCATGTCTGTATGGGTCATAAACACACACAAACTGCCCCAATATGATAAAGTGAAGATCCCATTGAAGCAGCCTTGTGCAGCCTTATATGCCTTCTGGTGTGAAGAGCAATGATGATGATGATGGTCATGATAATGATGAGGATGATGAATCTTCTAGTGGGCATAGTTGACATGTAAATTGCAGCACATTTTCATTGAATTGGGTTTCAAAATGCAATCACAGCAGACTGTAATTCATCCTTATTGCACAACTAGATTAAACTCAACTTAATACAAACCAACAAACAATTTATTCACATCCAATTACAGCACGATGTGCAAAACGAGGACCACATGTTATGTATTTGCATACTYGTACTATCATGCATATGTTTTTTTTAGGTTAAGCTGGCTGGTTTTAACAAACAAAGTTTGTAAAGCTCATTTGGCAGCAAAAAGACAATTCAAAGAAGTATGCAAATACATTATGTTTGTTGTATTTTAAGCAGGGCCCCTCTGGATACCAGCCTCATAGCTGAATGGGCTGCCCTGGTTAAATAAAGCTTACATTTACATTGAATGTGGTCATGCTTTCAAACGTTGTCATGCCATTGTCATAACATTAATATTGTAAATTAACTAAAAATAATAATCTCATTAATAAGTAATATAATCATTACAACATCATGGTATTATTAGATGTTACTGTTTATAGTTTAGACGTGAAAATGTTTACATTCAAATCTCAATGTATTGTACAAAGAGTACATCTAAGTATAATGATATGAAATAAATTTACAATGAAAATTAGGAAGTATCCAACATTTTTGTCTGGTCTTTTCACTAAAACTTTTTTACACTTAGTCTAGCATGGAGATGGAATCCAAAGGTAAGAGAAGTCAATTTGAAATTATTAATTTTTTCCTTGAAATGCAGGTTACACTCCACTAACACAATTTTCTTTACTAACGCAGAGTATTCCACTAGTAGGAAGGCGAATTGGTAGGAAAAAAATGGATTCCCAAATATGTGTCCACTCAATTCAGTCAATGACAGAAAATAATGATTGCAGTACTAAGTATGATGACCGTGTACATATTCAAGGGATATGCACTGTCTCTGTTTCATCTTCAAATAGTTTAAAGATCCTAAGGGTAAGAAAATGCTTTCTGTATATCATTCATCTGTTTCATCCAGAACTGACCTTAACTCTCCTCCCCTTCCCCCCTTCACTTTATGACTAGTCTCTAGACAATGTATTCATGTATAGTCAAACAGTGTAGGGTTATTTCTAAATATCTACCACCTTGACCTACTTTACAACTTTATTGGGTATCAATCAGGAAGGAAAATTACAAAACCAACATGCTACTCTTTTACTCCGACGAAGGACAAGCGTCCGAAATGTCCGAAATGTCAGACTTTTCACGGTGTACAATTTACCTTTTCATCATTACTGTTTCATTAGAAACACCGAYGCAGCTCACACTAGTTTTTAGCTAGTTATATCTTCGTGCTACCCAAAGCGAGAAGTGTGAATGGGACTCTAGGTCCCATGCTAGGCATTTYCTTTTGACTAACGATATAAATCAATAGAGAATTGTCTTGGATAATTAATACAGTTATAGTAGTAAAAATTGATAACTAGTGAACTGAGAACGGCCAAAAAAATAATCAATGGAGTTCAAACAAACAAAAGTCCCTAAGGTTCAGTTATTATCAACCTTTTCTCCTAAATAGAAAAATATGTTTTGTTTGATTTGAATACTGATGTAGACATTGCAGCTGAACTAATGGGATATTGTCCAAAGATTTAAGAAAATCTGTTTATTACAGTTGACTCTATTAGCTAGGTAGTTCATAACTGCTTGATAATAATATTATTATTACAATAATGTACATGTAGGTAGCTTGGTGTGGCTAAAGTATCATCTATATATACATTACTTAGTAAGGGTTATTCAAATGGGACAAGTAAACCACGCCGTCAACAACATAAGGTTGAACGTCTGTTTCATTTGGCTCCATCCTTGGTACTGAACCACTGATAAGATCTTGGAAAGCCTACAATGAAACAAAGAGAAATAATGTTTGGGCATAATGTTTTCCCATTTCATTATCGAACTTATAAACAAAGAATTAACCATTCAAAGAAAAAATATCAAATTTAGAGATATTCAATAAATATTTTAAATAACTAATACCTCCTTTAGAGAAAGTAAATTTAATATGCAGAGGGGGGGAT